TTAAGGCGGTAGTTTCCAACAAATCCCTAGTTGCAACATGGGAGCTGTCATTCTCATGACCTCAGTGGCAGCACCTCTGCCTGTGAGTTAGTGGAGTCCAGGTTAATCTCCATGTAGCACTGCAGGGTCCGTGTGGGTGTTGTCTTTCAAGGTGGAATCTTCCTGTTCTGGGTCCGTTGCATTACATGGGGGATAGGGGAATTCTTCCAATGAGCTGGGCCCTTGTAACCTTCAACCAATCTCATTCCAACTAATCAGCTGAACATCTACCTTGCTGCTTGAGGAGGTTACTGGGTGTCTGTTGGCTGCTCTGCTCACCTTTCATAAGTGAAGATATGTTTGACAGAATTTGAGTGTAAAGTGCACTGAGCTATTTTGAAAGCTGCCAGGGTGGCACAGTGGTTAGCACTGCTGCCTCTCGGTGCCAGGGACTCAGGTTGGGTTTGACTGTGGGGTGACTGTGGCGTTTGCACATTCTCCCTTATGTCCACATGGGTTTCCTCCGGGTGCTCCGGTTTCCTCCCACAGTCCAAAGATGTGCAGGTTAAGTAGATTGGCTGTGCTAAATTGCCCATAGCATTCTGGGATATGTGGGTTAGCTATGGGTAATGCGGGGTTACAGGGATAGGGTAGGGGAGTGGGATACTCTTCAGCAGATATGGACTCAATGGGCCAAATAGCTTGCTTCCACACAGTAGGGATTCTATAATATGTCTAAAAATAAATGCAAATTTAATTATTGTTTCTGGGAGACATCGTCTTGTCACCATTCACAGTCAGTGACCTTCAAGTTGGCAGACGGAATTTGTTGCAATCTCCTCTGGTTTGTGACAGATTCTTTTTCTGACTGGATGTATTTCTCCATGCCACAGCCGACTGTTCATCACGATAAAACAAGAGTCTCTCTCTCTTGAATGCAAAAGAGAGGAACATTCTGTGAATGGGGGCACCTGTTCAGAGTTCACCTCTAGCCTAGTGACTCCTGATATTGTCAGACCATAGCCTCCTAACCCTCACCCTATTGCAGGGGTTTTTGTTACTAACAAAAGCTAATCGATCTGGTCTCTGGATAGTTAGTTGCTTTTGGATAGTTCTGATGTTCAGTAGTGACCAGCTCGGGCAGTCCTGCCACAAACAGCCTGTCCTGATGCAAAGTTAAGTTCTCATCCATGAGAACTAGAACTTCCCGGTATGGCACTTTGGAGAATAGGCTCAGTGCAGAAAGCACGTTCTCTCTACTACAAAAACAGAAGTTGCTGGAAAAGCTCAGCAGATCTGGCAGCATCTGTGAAGAAAAAAATCAGAGTTAATGTTTCTGGTCTGGTGACCCTTCCTCAGACTCTGATTTTTTTTTTCTTCTTCACAGATGCTGCCAGACCTGTTGAGCTTTTCCAGCAACTTTTTTGTTTTTGTTCCTGATTTACAGTATCTGCAGTTCTTTTTTTTTCTCTCTCTAGCAGTACTTACTGACACCTTTCAATCCTGGAACTGACAGTAAATTTTCAATACTATTTCTTATGATCTTGGAATATTTATTCCAAAAGCAAATTGCAAAGTTAGTTTTGTGGTATTGAGACTAATTTTCCTAATTTATAACATTTACAGCAATAACTGGGTTTTGTTTTACCTTTTATAAAATTGCTAAAAGGGTATTAGCATGTTTGCTATCCTTGATGTGGACAGACTTCAAATACCATTGCAGTGAGAGGTACTTAGAAATGCTGTCCAGGTTCAGAGTTTCTGCTTTGTGTTGCAGTCTTCTGTTCTGCTCATCCTCCTCTCTTTAACATTAAAATGATTTAGCATACAGTGGAGTTTTTGGAAACTTATTGATGACCAATGGAATCACTCAAGGAAACTCTTCAGATTTAATGTGCCTGAGTGTAAGGTAAGTTGTGAAAAAGCTAGGTTGGGTTTGGATCAGAATTGGGTGTGTTAGATGTTTACAGCACAGAGGAGGCAATTCAGCCCATTATGACTGCTTGTATCAACAAGGACCTGACCCCCCACATCCTGAGGGCTATGGAAATTCAAGTGAATATCTAAATATTGTTTAAACGTTACAAGAGTTTCTGACTCAACCATCCTTTCAGGCAGTGAGTTCCAGACTCTCTCTACCCTTTGGGTGAAAGCAATTCTTTCAACTCTCCTCTGAGCCTTCTCCCTGGGACCTTAAATCTGTGTCACCTGATTATTGACCTCTCTATTAATAGAAATGCGCCTTCCTATCCACCCTATCCATGTCCCTCAATCTTCTACTCCTCTATTAGGGCCCCTCTCAACCTCCACTGTTCCAAGCAGAACAACCCCAGTCTAGCAATCTTTCCTCATGGCAGCATCCTGGTAAATCTTGTCTCCAGTGCGCACAATCTTTTGTATGCAGAATGCCCTGTGTTGTGTTTTTGCTGAGAGGATTATTGGTGTCAATGCTGTTATGAAGAGGCCATTCAGTCCATTATGGTTGTGAAAACTCTTTGAAAGAGTTATCCAGTTAAAGCACCTCCCCACTCCACGCTCTCCATAACCTGGCAAATCTGGTCCTTATTTAGTTTAGGGATCGTTGTGGGGTGGGGTTGGGGAGGTGAGGTGAGGTGCTGTTGTTTTAAGTTTTGTCTTTAAAGAGCATTTTAATCTACAAGAGATATCAAGCTTTTAAAATGGGGATGATAGCACCTGTCTTAACCAAAGGTCTCCTTAAACTAGTGCAGAGTAGCTTCATGCTGTGAGCAAAATCATTGTGGTGCCAAAGTCAGATTTTTAAAATTTTTCATTGTTTGAAGATACAGATGATATAATGTAAAGTTCCATCACTCGTCTGAGCAGGTGAAAGTGTAGTTGTTGCTGTGCACTGGTTATTTTTATCCTTGCTTGAAAGAATGATGCAGGGTCAGGGAAGAGCAATTATTTAAACCAGGGGTTATCCCTTCACTAAGCTACTTTGTAATTTGTTCGACTGTTAAATCTCTCTCACTATTTCCAAAAGGGGTCCTCTTTTTATGGCATTCGTCAAAGAATACAATTGCACAGCTGTTACCCACATTTAAATGCTCCAGGCAGCAGGTTTGCAGCATCTTCAGTGTGGACAAGATGAGTAGGGTCTAGCCCCTGTTGCTGATTGGCCTTCGAATCATAGATTGTGATGATCCATTGCTCCAGTTGAGTTGAAAACAATTGGGCTTGAAGGTTGCTGGAGAAATTTGTAACAAAAATATATATTTTTAAAAACTGCCTTTTTTAAAAAAAATAGCACCTTCCAGAGGGGATGAAGAAATCCTCGATGCAGACCCGATTTTTTAATTTAATAAAAAGCAAAAGAAAAGGCGGTTCCTTCATGTTTTGCAGAGGCACAGCAGATCAGAAGACATTTCAGTGTTGCTGTCCTGTGGACTATGTTCTAGTTGACTTCTGTCTATTAGACAGTCCCATCCACCTAAAGTGAAAGAATGTCAGGATTAGTACAACTGATTAAAAAGGGCACAAAAATGTTGACATTCTTAAAACGTTTTAATTTTTGATTTATAAAGTGTCACAGTTGGAAATCATTATTATGGAAAGCAGATGAGGGATTAATTGTGTTGCATCGCTAAAGTGCACTATGCGTTTTCACTGTCGTTTCTACATGTTCGTAAACTCTGAAATCTTTCTAAAGGTGGCAGAAATAACATTTACAAATATTTTGATCTTGATTTGTAACTCTCCATTGATCAATGTGTGAATGGTTGTCAGGGCAATTGGAATTGAGCTTCCAACATGATGTTCTGTAGCTCCCTCAGTCAGTCACAGAAATCCAAGTTGGCAGTATCCAGCCACTATTCCTCTTTGACCTGGATTTTCCCTGTTACTAGTTTTGATCCTAGTGTGATGTTTGATGAATCAAGCAGTTGGTCTTTCACCATGACTGTTCACTAAGGGAAAATTGTCCTTCTCCCCATTATCACCCATTCCTCATCAATAAGGTACTTATTAACTGTACATCTAATACCTGACACTAACACACACCCTGATCACGAGCTCAACATCTTCCTCCGCAATAACTCTACCATCAGGTTTTTTTAATCTTGACTCTTTCTTAATTGTTCATTGTATTTATAATTCTGAGCAAAGTCAGTTATGTACCCCGTTCATGAGAAATTCTGACCTGTTGCTTTATTGTATTGTTGGCTGTTATAAAATGACTGTTCAAATCTTTGCAATCATTGACAGAAAAATTATTCTTCTTTGGGAATAAGACAATAAAATGCAGATGGGACAGCAAACATCAGCACAGATACAAAGGCCTGAATGGAGGAGCAAATTACTGCAGATGCTGGAATCTACTGAATAAAAATGCTGGAGATCACAGCAGGTCAGGCAGCATCCATGGAGAGAGAGCAAGCTCATGTTTCAAGTCTAGATGACTCTTCAGAGCTGAAGTAAAGTGTGGCAGGGGCAGCGTTTATGCTATAATATGGGGGGGACGGGGGGGAGCTGAATGGTTTCCTGTGCTGTAATTTTGATCAGTGAATCACCAGCGTTATTTGTAATTTGGAGTCAGTGTTGAGGGAAAAAAAAAAACCTCCTGAGGGAAATGTCTGTAGACATCAGTTTCTAACTTAGGAACTGCATTTGCCAGTAAGTGTTCAAGCCATAACATATACAATAGAGAAGGTTATTCTACAAAAAATCAAATTATTTATTTATAAAAACTTTTTACACATGAATAAATTTACACATGCACGCACCCACAGCTGTTACCACAAACATTAAAGACTGGTTAGCTCTTCAGTAAGGATAGCATGTGAATACAGCAATAATTTACAATACTTTACACTGTAGTCTGATTGTTGTAGTCAGAACCTGGGGAGGGAGTAGCATCATTTCATTGGAAGGACATTTTACAAAAAGGAAGGCAATCTGTAAATAATGTATAAAAACAGTAAAACCAAGAATTTACAAATGATCCAATGTACAAAAGAGAAACATCAGTTAAATGTCATTATATTAAATTAAAGGCATGTACGAAATCTGTGTTTAATTGGCTGGTTAATGGTCATTTGCATACTTCCATAGCCACACCTAGTAAGGTGTAAATGTCACTACTGGCCAGCATGTGAAAACACATTAATCAGCCAACCAATTGTTTTTTTGTTGTAATACAAAACCGTGTTGCTCTTAAAACAACCCATCAACTGCAATTTCATGGGAGGAGGCATTTTAGAGTAAAACTCTATCAGTGAACACATTAAAGATATGGTTTCTTTAAAATATGTCTTGCACTGGCTTTTTTTTTTGCATGCCATTATTTTATCAAGAACATATACCAATTTTAACCAGTTTTGGACACAAAAACTGATATCAAGTATACATTTTGAGGGAAACGCATGCATTTTCATGTATGTGGTAGCAGAGAGAGAGGGGTGGTGGGGGCTTGCTAATTGCTTTCCTCTTCAGTTGAATGCCACTTTGTTGTTCAGACAATGAAAGATCACTCTGAGATGGAAAGGTACAGCCATATTTCCAGAGGGGCAGGAGAGAGGGCAACACTGGACACTGACCCAGGTAAGCAAACACAAGACTTTTCACAGTTTGGAACTAATGGCTTTTTGGTGGCGAGAAGTTTAACGAATACAGACAGCACATACAACGTATACCTTCTCTGTTACTGAATGATGGGTATAAAAAAGTAAGATCATTGTGCATCTCTAAGGCAAGGATGTAAAGGGCAGCTATTACACCGTGTGGAAATAAGACAGTGGAAGTGCAGGATTATTCCGAATCCACAAGAATCACTTCACTCCACCAAGCTTCCTCAGCAGTTTCTTTCCTTTTGATAACAGTCCCTTTTTCTTTTTTGAAGCCATATCTCTGGCCCACATTGGGCTGTCTGGCCCATCTACTACACCAGCTCCAGAATGGTGGTGGGGATGTACAGTTGGAGACGGAGCCCTCCTTGGAATGTTTTCACCAGGGACCTAGTGTGCATCATACGATTTGATTAGTTTTTTTAGAAAAAATGTAGAAAGGGATTGCGTTAAAGGGTAAATGAAAACCAGAAGCTGCACACGGATTTTAAAATGCACAAAGGACTACTCTGACTTAATTACAGCACCCAAATATCTCACACCTGAAGATACCATAGTGCAGATTTGTCTAATGCATCCAGCAGCTCAAACTGAACAAGTCTACTTGTCTTAGTTCTGCAAAGAAAATAAACACTAGGTCATGAAAGAAAAAGTCTTCCCCAAAGTCTTGAATTTTTGCTTTTGAACTAAAACAAAAAGAGACCAAGTAAACAATAGCTGACCAACGCGGTTAACTCATGACCTCTGACAAATGAAAATGTTCAATACAAAAAAATTATTTGCGGTGGATTTGGTGTGGGACTAGCAAAGAATTTTCACAAGATCACTTTTGGGGAAGAGTGTTTTTCTTTCACAATCATTTCTAAGTGTAACTTGGTTGCATCAGACCCAGAGGAGCTCCTGCTATCGGTATCTTCAGTTGTTCACTTACGTGAAGGTTACAGTGCGTTTATTAAGATGTGAAATGAACACTCTTCTTCTGTTCCCAGCAGATGAGCAAAGAAACAAAACAGAAAAGATTGCAATGATGATACTGAAATGGAAGAACCGAAGCCCCAAACAACATTGTTACTCACTTGAAAACAAAACAGCCTCAAATTTCATTTATACCTTGATAAAGACTGAGCTTCAGTCATAGCTACATTCTAACCTGGCTGTTGGGTGCAGTCAGGTGTAGCACTGGAGTTTTTATTTCCAATTGTAATTGTTCAAAATTTGTATATTTGCTGGCTTCTTAAATTCCTTTTAGTACAATTTTTTTTTTTTTTTTAAAAATTGCATTTTTGAAATGTAATGCTTTTCATCCTCTTTAAAAGGACAGTTTCTGATTCGCACTGAGTTAGGGTTGCATTCATGTTTGTGCTGGCCCATTGAAGGTGTAATTCACTTCGCCAAACGCCAGACCCCAGACCCCCCTCCCTGTCATATTTCCTTAACTGAACTGGATCATTGTCAGAAATGAAGGACTTCACTGAAGCTGTGTTCATCACCCCCTCAGACTGTGCATCCCAGATCCAAACCAATTGCTGCGTGCAAGAGGTTTTTCCTCATGTCAATCTGTCCCTGTTAGTTATCAATCTTTCAACCAATGCTGACACTTTCTTCCCAATGACTCAAACTCCCTGTCAATTCTCCTCTCAATATTCACCTTTCCAATCTATCTGCTTAACGGAAGCTCCTCATCCCTGGAACCACATTTGTGAAATGTATCCAGCAGAAATTGGCCACTTTTCCTGACTCGAGTGGACTCAATTTATGCTTCACTATTCTTTACCTATCCCCATCACCAGATCCTTTCATTCCTTTCTGTCCCATGTGCTGAACTGGCATCTCCTTTAAAACCCCCTCACATTGTTGGTAACAAGGGGGCATAATTTTAAAGTTTTTTTTTTAACCAGAGGATGGTGGGGTCTGGAATACACTGCCTGGGAGGGGAGTTGAAGCAGGAAATCTCAACTTTTAAAGTACTTGGATGAACACTCAATGTTGTAAAAATCAAGGGCCTAGTGCTGGGAAGTGGGACTAGTGTAGGGGTTAGTACATTTTTGGCAGTACAGACTCAAAGGGCTGAAGGACCTCTTCTGTACTGATTGATTCTGTTACTTTAACTGCTCTGTATGCTAATGAAATCCAATTGCTTTCAGGGTAAAAAGGATTCTCCTGATTTGGATTTATGGCTCTCTCCCTTGACCAGTAAAACACATTTTCTGCATTGCTAGCATTTGCTTTTGTAATCAACCAAGATCTTGTCTTATCTGAGTAGTATTTAGGGTGTTTAGGTGAGTACTATGGGTGTATGAGACTATGGGCCAAGTGTGAAAAACTGGGTTTACAATAGATAGATGGCCAGTGTGGATACAATGGGTCCTAGTCTTTGCTCTGTAAAAACACTTTAACTCGAGTACTGTATGTTTTTGAGAGGAAGAAAGACTCAGTCTGTAATCTTTCCTGATAGTTATTAATCTTTATTTTGTGTGGAGTGGGCATCACTGGCTGGCCAGCACATGTCACCCATCTTTACCTGCCCTTAAACTGAGTGGCTCACTCGGTCATTTCAGGAGGCAATTAGGAGTCAGTCATATTGGTGTGGGTCTGGAGTTACATATAGGCCACACTGGCTAAGGACAACAGATTTCCTGCATTCTAAGGCATTAGTGAAAAGATTGGGCTTTTACAGCAATTCATGCTGGTTACCATGGATACCATAGGCTAGTTTTTAAAATTTATTAATTGAATTTAAGCTCCACCAGCTGCTGTGACTAGATTTGATTAAAACCCAAAAGTACTGCGGATGCTGTAAATCAGGAACAAAAACAGAAATTGCAGGAAAAGCTCAGCAGGTCTGGCAGCATCTTTGAAGAAAAATCAGAGTTAACATTTTGAGCCCCTTCCTCAGGAACGGTCACCGGCCCCGAAATGTTAACTCTGATTTTTCTTCACAGATTCTGGCAGACCTGCTGAGCTTTTCAAAAACAGAAGTTGCTGGTTTGTGGTTCGATTTGAACCTCTCTCCCCAGAGGATAAGGCTCTGTATTACTAACACAGCGACTACACCACCCTATCTTAGTACCTCTCCATTCAGGAATCATCCTCACCAATCTTCCTTTACACCATCTTAACCTAGACTCTGGGATTGCCTGTAGCTATGATCTAATCACAGTTCGATACAAGTTTAACAACTTTCTTGCATTTCAATTCTGACCATCTCAGAATGGCCAGGGTCCTTTGCTGCTTTCTATAATGGCCTCTGCTGCTCCTTTCAAAAGTTAGATGTCTATATCCTCGAATCCTCTCTACCCCCTTTTCCCCCATTCAGGGCTATCCTTCCCCCAGAGCTACATCTTTCTCACACTGTGTACTATGCTGGTCTGTGACATGTAATGACTGGATTGTGATGATAGTATGGGTATATGCTTCTGTTAAAGAAAATCAGTTATTCCCAGGAAAACAATGCTTTGGATTTATTTGTGATGATTTTGGAAGCCACAATATCAGGTACTGGATAACTTGAGGATTTTATTTTAATGGAGCGTGTAATTTGCTATCATTAATCTGTGACTATGGCAACAAAACACTCAGGACACATATTGATCTGTTCTACACTTTGTTAATTACCTATACTTAATGTATAATCGAGTAATCTCTACTTTCCAGATTTGGAAATCATATCCATGGTCAAACAATTGTCAGATACTACTGGTGATAGTAAATGTACATATGCAGACATAAAAACACAGAAAACATTGAGTGCATGCACGCCAAGGATTCTGCTCAAAGAGAGCATTGAGACTGAAGCGAATCGTTGGGATAAACTCCCAGGATGACAACAGAGCAGCATGTGTTTCATTACAACGCAGTACTCAGACACGATAAAATCAACCAAACACATCACAGAAGCATTGAGCAAAATTTGACACTGAGGTACATTGGGAGAGTAAGGAAGTGAGCGAAGAGTTTAGTAAAAGAGGCAAATTCCAGGCAATGCCTGAAAGGAGGAAAATAAAGCCAAAGCCTGCATAGAGTTCCTGACCAAATTCCAGACTTTGGGCCACTAACAACTGAGAGTGAGGCCAGAGGGGCAGGATGAAGGAAATTGTATTGTGCTCCATTAGAATTGTTCACTCTTCTCTTCAATTAACATGACAGGATCCAGGTTAAAGGTGGAATCGTTAACTGGTTTAATTTCTGTACGAAGTTTATGCCATGGCAAGAAGTGACTGGGAGGTAGCTGTGGGGTACAGACAAAAAGCAGGCTGGCTAGGATTGATGGTGTTTATCACCATGACAACTGGCTTTCAGAGTGAAGAGGAACTTTCTGGAATCTTATTCTCCTGATATTGTCTGAGTGAGTTTCTCATCTTGTGCCTCTCTTAAGAGATTGGAGGATGCATAGGACATGTTTGGTGTTGCAAATACTGCATGGAATTTGATGGTCTCCACCAGGGCAGCTTGGAGGTGGGCAAGAGTGGGGGGTAGGGGACAGAAATGTTTAACTAGGTGAAAGGATAGGAATTCCACCATATTCCCAACTCCAGCCCAGTGAAGTCTGAGCTGGGAAGCTCAGGGATGGTCTTCCTGAAATGATGCCCATTAAACAGCTGTTACCATTGGTCAGGATCCAAGTAGAAGGAGGTTGACCAGCACATCCTGCTGTGTTTGCCATCTGGAGGGTGGCAAGGGTCAGAGGGCCTGGGAAAGGAAGCTGCTATCCCAAAGGATATCCCACTGGGAAGTCAATGGCCTACCTTTGCTGTTAACCCCTTCCCCCTCATGTGTGCCTCCTGCCCCCACTGACCTCGGTGCTGCGGTGCTCCTGGTGTCTTCCCCAGTGGTATTGCCAAGTGGTGAGGAGCAGCCATGGCCCTGAATGCTCATACCCTCAGTGGGTTAGAATTTCACTGAGTTGGGGGTTGTTGGAGTGGGGTGGGTTGGAGATGCTGCCTCAGCCTGAAAACACCCACCAGCCTGGCATGGGTCTGACTGCCATTTAATACAGTGGGCCATCCTAGAACAGAGATAAAGTGGAGGCTCACTGACTTTTTAACCAATAGAGAGAAGCCCACCTACTCCAGCTGCAATGCATCAGACAGACTCAGCAAGACAAGCAATTGTCTCCTGTCCATTATCACACGCATTCCCAATTTCTGAACAATTAATTTTGCACACACAACCCTCAGACACTCTCTGTCTGGAAATGATTTACTGTCTGTATGTTAATCTCAGGGTGATGAGAAATTCTGTTACTGAGTGATGGCTTAACTTTGATGGTGTTTGCACCTGACTGCATTTGTACCAACAAGTTGCAGAAAATATCCCCCCACTCCGTTCCTGAAGGGAGTCACACAGTCAAGGACCTAAATGTCTGAAAGTGAAATAGTTTGTCAGTTGTTTCATTGAAAAGTATGGAACTACAGGCACTGTGAAATTAAAATGACAGAAGTGCCAGGGAGGGAATGCATTCACCAGCAATAGTACAGAAAGCAAATGCTGCAGTGACTTCACTAAACAAAGGTTCTGACTATCCCTCTTTCCCATCCACAGTTGAGTGAGAATTTTACAAAAGGCTAAAATAAGATTTAAAATGAACACTTGTCACTGCAATAAAATTGAAACCACCAACCTTTAGCAACATCAGAATAAATAGCATATGGTGCCTCATTAATACCTGATGAAAATATTGAGTTAACTGGATGCTGTAGAAATATGGTCTGCACATTTTGTATCAAGACAAAGCCACGAATACATTGACGTTGGTATTTATGGTGTTGTTGCACTGTGTTAATGTCCTTCTCTGTACCCCAGCCCCAGATCCATTATTGCACATGTCCTTATGTTGCTGTTTCTAAACATCCTGAATGACTTTAAGGAACCAGCATCATTCACACCACAGAAAGCAGAGTTCCAAATGAGAGGCAGTGTTGAATCTGGCTCGCAAGGAGGGAGTAACTGAGTAAAACTGATAGAAGGCATCACTGAAACATCAGCTGAGGTGCAGAAAGCAAGCTCTTATAGACTGGGACTTGATAAGTTCATTTTATTTTGAGCCAATGCTGGAACTAGTCAGCTGTAGGCTAACTGCAGAAACACATGATTAGAACTTAAAAGGAAAGGGGAAGTTTTAGGGCAACTACAGTGTGGTGGCTAAAGAAAATGACATTGTTGTAAAAATAGCAGCTGTCATTTTCACATCCAGGTTGTCTCCCTGATAAAGGGTGGCCATATTGGATCAGCTGCCCCTGGGCAGGGAAGTGTTGGGAAGAGGAAGAATATTTCTCCTGTTTAATGGGTCTGCAAACTCTGAACAATGTGGGAGACAATCTCAAGCCGGTGGCTGTGGTAAACAGATCCACTAGGGGCGCAGAGGCTTCACCAGGTGAAGATAAGGGGCTTTTCACACAGAAGTTTGAGATGACCTTTGGCACTTGCTGCCTCAGAACGGTTTGGAACTCCACCACGAGCTTATCTGGTGATTTACAAACCATACGGTGACTGTGGTGTGAGGCAATAAAATCATAATTGACTAACATATTAATCCTAGAGGATGATGGTTAATGTTTATGTCAAAAAGAATGTTGAAAAGGCAACAGAAACATAAATCCAACAAAAAATCCATGAAATGAAGCAAAACCTGGATGAGTTGATAATTTACTTAAATCCAGTTGAGAGTAAAATACTTGCCCTTTTCCCTTTCAGGCGGGCTGGTGGGTCTTGAGGGTATCTGGAGGGAGCTTCAGAGAGATAGACCTCAACATCATTGGGAACTTCTTCCAGGAAGTTTGAAGGAACAAGACCTCTCTGGCCATTGATCTCCCCCTGTAAGTGAATGACACAATATTAGTACAAAGGACCTCACAGTGGACAGAGAGTCTATTCAGCCCATTGTGCCTGTGCTAGCACTCTGAATAATTAGTTCCCCCCCCACCCCCCACCTCATCCCACCCACTACACTACTCTTCCCCCAGAGCCAAGCAAATGTATCCAAATCCCCCCCAGAAGCCCCAGTTGGATTGTCTTGCACCATCCTTTCAGCTGGTGCCTTCCACATTCCAACAATTCAGTGGAAAATTCATTTAGCTCCCTTCTCCTTGTGGCTGTGTATAATCCAAGGGTCAGTTTCCAGGTAACATTAGTAGGAAGCTGTTGTGAAGAATGGCATTGACTTTTCTACATTACGGTGGGTGGGGGGGAGGGGCGGGGTTGGAGTAATGGGTTGGATGGTGGGGTGGGGCGAAGGTATGGGGGGAGGGGTGTGATGGGCATTGTCAATTAAACATTTAAAAACCCGAGGTGGGCAGAGTATCGATAGGTGTGGAGTATAAGTGGGTAAAATGAGTGAATGTATGGATCAGGCCAGAGCTTCTTCAACAAGAAACATAGATTATATCAAGAAAACCAGATCAAAGTTATCTTCAGGGAGAAGTTGAACTCAACAAATGGTTTCTGAAAATGCACCTTGCACAGACTCCAGGCTGTGAATTTATAAGAATTCCACTGCTCTGATTGATTCACATGGCGTTGATGTCTATGATTAATTGTTTGGCACCATAGAACTGAAACATTGCTAAAAAGAAATGTGCAGTTGAGGCTTTTTGCCTTGCACGCATCAGGATTGAGATGCAAGAAAACCAACTTTATCAAAGGAGTAACAACTTATACAGGATAAATAATGTTTTAACGAAGATCTGTAGCTTGGGTTGTGGTTGGAGGTGTTGGTTGGTTCGCCGAACTGACTGGTTTTCATGCCAATGTTTCGTCTCCCTTCTCAGTGACATAGTCAGTGCTGTGTAGCCTCCATTGAAGCGCTGTTGTTCTGTCCCGCTCTGAATTTCAATGGTCTGGTCTGTCGTGGTGGGCAGTCTTGTTTCTGGTTTTGTACTGTAGTGGTATGTACACTCTGACATAGAAGAACATCAATTTAACTGGGACAATGTTACAGTGCTAGGACAAGCGAGACATAGACAAGCATGAGAATTCCTGGGGGCCTGGTTTTCAAACATCGATGCAATTAACAAACAAGTTGAAATAGCACTACATACAGTACAAAACCAGAAACAAGACTGCCCACCACGACAGACCAGACCATAGAAATTCAGAGTGGGACAGAACAACAGCGCTTCAATGGAGGCTACTCAGCACTGACTATGTCACTGAGAAGGGAGACTAAATGTTTGTATGAAAACCAATCAGCTCGGCGAACCAACCAACAACTCCAACACGATAAATAAATTAAAACAAATGAGAAGAGCACACTGGTTGGTTGGATTACGGTTGGTATGGAGCTGTCAAGAGTCTTATTTAACTGGTTAAATTCAAACGAGGCAGGTCAGCACTGACTGGGCTGGGCATTGTCATGGGGATCCAGCAGGGATTGGCTCAGTCCTCAGTGAAACAATATTCCTTTTGCCTCTGTGTGAATATAACTCGCTTCAAGCACATGCATTTGAATCACACTATGAGCCTGGCTGATGATCTGAAATTGGTTTCTGGGGCAACTTTTAGCATAGTCAGGATTATTTAATAAATGTTGCCCAATAGCACTATCGTATTTAGTGTTGGAAATGATGTTCTGAGTTTTGAGAGTGCTGGCTGGTCGAGTACCATCAGCACACTGCCACCCACAGATAGTCAAGAGGATGTGATGTTATGGTCCACCCATCATTAGGTTCTCTAGCCTACAAACCTGGCAAGACCCCAAGACAGCACGGTGTCTCGGTGGTTAGCACTGCTGCCTTATAGCACCAGGGGCCTGGGTTTGATCCCACTCTCGGGTGACCATCTGTGTGGAGTTTGCACATTCTCCCTGTGTCTGCGTGGGTATTCTTTGGGTACCTCCCACTGTCCAAAGATGTGCAGGCTAGATGGATTGGCCATACTAAATTGCTCATAGTACCCAGGGATGTGTAGTGTAGGTGGGTTATAGGGCGATGGGTCTGGGTGGGATGCTCCAAGTGTCGGTGTGGACTTGTTGGGCCGAAGGGCCTGTTTCTACACTGTAGGAATTCAATTAAACTCTTACATCACCCTTCGTGTATGGGCAATACATCTTTTTGACTTGATGGCAGCTTGGAGTTGGTGGATTGATGGATCCACTCATGGATTTCCTACAAAGTAACAGTATGAGACTCAGAGGGATTTAGCACCTGTAGATCAGCCATGATCTCATTGAATGGTGGAATACATGTTATGGGCTTCTGCTCCTCTCTTTTATGGTCCTGTGGTTATTGTTTATGGTGCGATATCTAGTGAGGTAGTACACCAGATCAAATTGAAGAACAAAGAAATTTCCACATCTTGAACCTAATGATGGAAACTCCTTCCAATCTGTTCAATCCCATCCTGCAATAGAGGGAATTCACTCACAGGACTGTGTTTCATTTTAACCTTATCAATACGTTTACAAAGACACTCACTGGCCAATGCACACATGGGGATTCCTACAGTCCCACATACTATAGGATCGATTGAATTAGCAACTTCATGAATAGGGCCCTCAGCACCTGCTCACAGTGTAAGCCTGACACTAAACTAGGACATATCAAACTATCCTGCACTAATAATAGATGCCCTGTCAAATTATTACTCACTGTTTTTGCACAAACTCATGGAAATGCCTGCAGCCACCATCTGGATGACCCTGGATGGGGAGAATGTCTCCAGCTGCCTCATACTGAGGTGATGCAGCAAACCCAGAACAGAACGAATGTTTAGAAAAGGCCGTGAGGGTGCTCCAAGTGAGTGGTACAGGACAGAAACAAACCCTTCACTCCAACTCATCTGTAGCAACCAGGCATCCCAATCTGACCTGGTCCCAATTACCAGCATTTGGCCCATATCTCTCTAAACCCTTCCTTTTTATATACCCATCCAGATGCCTTTTAAATGTTGTAATTGTACCAGCCTCCACCATTTCCTCTGGCAGCTTGTTCCATACACGCACCACCCTCTGTGAGAAAAAGTTACCCCTTAGGTCCCTTTTAAATCTTTCCCCTCTCACCTTAAACCTATGCGGTCAAGCTCTGGTCTCCCCCACCCAGGGGAAAAGACCTTGGCTATTCACTCTATCCATGACCCTCATGGTTTTATAAACCTCTATAAGGTCACCCCTCAGCCTCCAACAGTCCAGGGAAAATAGCCCCAGCCTATTCAGCCTCTCCCTGTAGCTCAAACCCTCCAATCCCAGCAACATCCCTTGCTGTACTTTCTCAAGTTTAACAACATCTTTCCTATGGCTGGGAGACCAGAATTGAATGCAGTATTCCAAAAGTAGCCTCACCAATGTTCTGTACAGCTGCAACATGACGTCCCAACTCCTATACTCAATGTGCTGATCAATGAAGGCAAGTATTTCAAACGCTTTCTTCATCACCCTGTTCACCTACTGCTCCACTTTCAAGGAGCTATGAACCTGCCATCCTAGGTCCCTTTGTTGGGCAACACTCGCCAGGGCCTTACTATTAAGTGTATAAGTCCTGCCCTGATTTGCCTTTCCAAAATGCAACACCTCACATTTATCTAAATTAAACTCCATCTGCCACTCCTTGGCCCATTGGCCCATCTGATCCAATCATTCACTTTGAGGTGTAGTCACTGTTATGTAGTTAAATGCAAGGGTAGTCTGATCCCATAAAAGGAAAAATGAAACAAGCTGGAGATTTGAAGGGAGCTTGGAAATGTATATTTGCGTACAGCTTTTGGGACTTATTAAAGAGAATGACGGAGATCGTTCGATCAGTTCCCTGGATCCAATAGCAATTGAAGAGAAAATTACATAAATGATTTTTTCTGTGTTTTCTGTCCCTCATTTCAAATATATTTTGTTGTCGCAAATTGATTCACAACCTTTTGGAAGATGTTCCTGTTATCAGGAAGAAATGCAGCAGGCATACACAATGAAATACAGAAGATTTTCTGCACCATGAAGGTAATTCTTTTCTCAGTTCAGTAAAATAAAGACATATTTTAGCTTGTGTGAAATATTGTTTAGGATAAACCTACATAATAAAATCCATCTTCATCTAGTTCTCCCCAGACGCTGATGATGTCCCCGGCACAAAACGTTAATTCAGCCTGAAAGAGAAACAGGAACAGGATTTGGCTCAGTCCTGTTTATGTTAAAATACATTTTTGTATTATTTTGTGTTTGTTCTTTGATAACTGCTTCCAGAGACAAGGGAAGTTGTAACAAATTGGACCTCACCTTGCAGCTACAAACACTGGCATTCCACCCCTGTGGATAAACCTGCATCTATATAGATCCTTACACAACGTAATAACGTTTGGGTCATTAGCAGAAAGGCTTCCATTTTTACAGTGCCTTTCATAACCTCAGGATATTCCAAAGTCTAGCATATCATTAAAACAGAGAAAGACTGCAGAATGTGGTAGAACATAGAACATAGAACAGTACAGCACAGTACAGGCCCTTCGGCCCACGATGTGGTGACACAGGAATCTGGGTGTTCCTTGTACATGAATCAACAAAAACGATTAATGTGCAGGTACAGCAAGGAACTGAGAAGACAAAGCAAATGCTGGCTTTTGTTTCAAGGTGGATGGAAAATAAAAGCAAGGAAATTATGCTACAACTGTTCAGAGGATTGGTGAGGCCACAGCTGGAGCACTAGAATGAGAACTAAATCCTTCGGCTGACTCTAATGTCCCAGAAAAGTCAGGAATGGGTCTGCAATTCAGAAACATTGAGGCATGGGACCAAAAATTTGAATGTTCCTTTCTAACGGAGCCCTATCCAGGCCCTTTCCTGATAGACAGGGAAAGCTTTAGGTTAGCTTCGGGTTGTGAACCTATGCACCACGGATTACAATGTCAGGGCTGCCAGTGACCATCCAGGGACTGGGTTGGGGGGTTGGGGTGGTGTGAAACTTCTGTGTCCCCCAGGGGGGTTATCCATGTTTTGGAATCCTCTGGAAACCCCAAAGTGGATGTCATGAATCCTGGGGGTAGGAAGCTGAGAAAATGGCAACAATCTAACAGGAAAATGTTACTTTTTTTGACAACTTAGATGGTGCACAGTGTTTTTAATCCATTGATTGATCAGTATTGTAAAGATAGGTTCAGCATTATGTTGGCCAGCATGTGTAAGAGTTGATTAGGGTACTTTTCCCAGTAGAAAAAGCAGGTTAAGATAGTCTTTGTGAACCCTCTTGTCATGGTCTAAATATTCAGACAGATTTTACTTAGGAAACAAAATTGGTTTGCAGCTTGAACTTAGAAAATTATATTTCTTTTCAAATTCAATAAGCCACATTGTCTGGAGCTATAATTATTTATTTTGACAGCCAAGCCCATTATGAATGTTTGACTGAGTTTCAAAACCTAATGTTGCACTTAGATGAGCAGGGAGAATATTTACAGAATAAAGAGTGCAAGTTTCTATTTTCCTACATTTTCTGATTATGGACTAAAATGGAAAAAGACTTTTTTTTAAAACCAAAGACCGAGAAAAGAATTGCTACAGTTTTGAAAAGAAGTCACTGTGATGCACTGAGATTGTGTTTACATTGCTGCTTTGCAAGCAGTGGTGGGGGTGGACAGATATGACATCACTAGGTCTGGCAACAAGTAGCTGATTGGTTTCTGCAAATGTGACTAGTTGTGGATGCCTGGCGACAGCTTTCTTATTGGCTCCTGGACAGGAGAAAAGCTCAGGGGTTTATAATAAAGGGTGAGAAGTCTCTGGAATACTGAAAAAAACAGGTCTCGATCTCTCTGCAGTAAAAGTACATGAAGCCTGAAGAAAGACACATTTTTTCCCAACCAGTTAGTATAAGCTGTACCTTTAACCAGTGTCTAAGAGACTTTGTAGTTTGCAAAGTACACTTTGTAATGTACCAATCACCCTGTGAAGAAGTGAAAGAACCTGGACAAAGG